ATTCTTAGCATTACATACCGCATAGATTTAGCTCATTTTCTTTTAAAGGTTGATAGTACGGATAAGGTAATCATATGTGCGCATACATTACTAATGAATTTATCGATTCAACGTTAAATAACCCTTTTCTATTTCTTACTGACTTCCAATCCCTCAACTTCTCTACCTCTTCTAAGATTTTACAAATTCATCTACCTCTCTTTCCTCATACTTAAGACGTAAGGCTTCATCAAGGTGTTTCGCTGTCATTTCGCTGTACTCAGCCGCTTCACTGATGTTTTTGTCAATCCTATCCGTAACTGCATTCTGTAAAAACTCCCTTAGCATAAGAAGAGCAAGAGTGGAGAGCCGAGTCAATGTACCTGAACATGTACGATAAAGTTGAGGTGTTCGTGTAGAGCGTTCACCTTTGCAACAGCCTCTTCTAACAGCAGCAGATCCTCATTCCTCTGTTTAATTTCGGCCAAAGCAGCTTTTTGTTCGTTGTTGTTCTCGCTCTAAAAACAACATTTTACTCCTAATTTTTGTAATATCTACAGTTTTACTGCACCTCCTCATTAACTTCCGTGCACTTTAGTGATGGCACATTAGCCTCGTCAACCTAAAATTATTCGAATTCAACGGTTCTTATTAATCAATGGAGCTGGCCATCCAGCACGGTAACCGAGAATGAAAGCGTAACGGTGATCGGTCTGCTTCGTTGCCCTTCTCCACATCGTCTATTTCCATTCCTCGACTAAGCCTACGACCTGCGCTATCATCACCAGCAGCAGCATCCTGTAAGCACTGCATATTTGGGTGTATTTGTGAATAATTAGAACATTACAAAACGAAGACGGGACTCGCACATTTTCCCGACAAGAGATGGAGTCGATCACAAGAGATTTTACCCATCTCTTTCGCTCGTCAGCACCCGTGTGAAGCCCCGTTATTCCCATTGGAGAAATACCGGATTCTACCTGCTGAAGTACGCGTCGCAATCCAGATCATGAAGGCAGCCACGGCTCCGGGACCGCACCATGTTTCGGTCGACGTTTTTTGAGCTAGAGGACATCGCCTACACGAGATACTTGCGGAACATCTAACGTCCTACCTCTAAAAAGAAAGGATCCCCGACCAGTGGAGAACCTCCCGAACAAGCCTACTTCATAAGAAGGACTATAAAGAAGATCTTCGGTATCGTCCAATACGCCTGCTGGGCGCGCTTTATAAGCACACAAAGATTAATCTCGCTCGCATAACAAGGACACTGGATGAAGCCCAACCTGTAGAACATGCTGGATTTCGCAAGAGATTCAGCTACGTGGATTACATCCAGACAGTTTCGAAGATTATCGAGTTTTGCCGAAAGTAGGGCCGACCTTTTGTCCTAACCTTTGTTGACTATGAGAAAGCGTTTAACAGCGTCGATACTAATGCCATACTGTCAGCTCTTGTCACCAAGGTGTGTACCCATCTTAGTGAGGACATTGGCTGACTGAAGAACTGCTCTACAACGGTACAGCATTTCCATCGCCCCCTTAACATAACAATTCCGAAAGGGATTTGACAAGGCAACATCGTGTTGCCGAAGCTGTTTACCCTGCGTTGCAGTGGGTGATAAAATTAATGAATTGAAATGAGAGAAGTGTGTTAATGGGAGATTCCCCTCAAACCTT